TTAAACATAAAAAAAAAAAAAAACCGATGTCAAAAAACACGAGTTTTTGGGAAATAGTTAGAAGATAGAAAAGAATTTAGGCCATTGTTGACTTTAGAATCAAATAGTAGATGAAAAATGCTCCATTAGACCCCAACTTGATATAATTTTCCCGTCTTTTCAGACGCAAAACAAACGGATCAGTATCATATGCGTCGATTAGGACATTTGAGAGGAAAACCCCGTTATCTGAAACAACGAAGACATTTTTTTAACCACGCAAGGCATGTTTTCTCATGTATTTTTGTCTCCTGGATTCGAAAATGACCTTGGTTTCTCTTTACCATGCACCAGTTTTCCGGAAAATCACATTTCCCGAAAAGTCCATTTTAAGTGGAAAATCTCAATTTTCCGGAAAATCGGTGGGTGTTGGAGAAAAACCAAGGTCATTTTCGGACTCAGCACTAAAAATTACATACAAATCACCTATCAAATGCCCGGTGTTTATTCGCCACAGACCTGTGAAATTCGAATTCTCTCGAGCCACCATTTTATGAACTTCACTTTTTCAAAATCATTTAAGCTTTATTCCCAAAAGGGCACTTTGGAGCAGCCAATTTTTCTTGATAATGAATCTTCAGGGATCAGTTAACACTGCTATACAAAGGTTTCCCTGAAATACGCTGAAATAGCTAGTTAAAAGTCTAGCTATATTATTATTTTTACGGTATTGAGGAGGGTACTTTTAAGCAAGAATACCGCTTATAAAAATAGCGATATCTTAACTTGTTATTAGTGAAATATATTCTACTTAAAGAGGAGAACAAGCTACTTTAGTTAGAAATTGTCATAAATCTATCGGAGGGAAATACCAACAGGCGCACGGTTTGTCCCGAGTGAGGCAACATGTTTCGAGTGCCGCCTGAGCCACTTTAGGAGGCTGTGTGCGTTAAACTGGGGTTAAAAAATTGAAAACCAATACCTGTATCATAAAATATAACTCTTTGGGAAGACATTTACATCAATGAAATGACTATTTGTGAGAATCGCCCATGTCCGACTTTTTGCAGGTTTCGATCCACCGTGCGTCGGTCACCGCTATAACTATATAGGTACAGAAAATATATGGAATTGCCGATCTTCGCTATCTAATCACTTTTGCTCACCGGTAGCAAAAAAAAACCTCTCGAGGCATGCTGAAATTGGGCATGATAATTTTTTAAAATTCAAAGGCCATAACTTTTGGTGTCTGATGTTTCAAAACTTGTTATCATCGGAGATATGGCGTTTTTAAGATCATGAAACAATTTTGCCGTTTTCTATGACATTCTAATGTTTTCCTACTTATAGGTTTCCTCTTCGATGAGGAGTACAACAGTCCAAACCGGTACATTTTAACTCAATAATTGAAATGTTATCGAACGGTTTTTTGCTCATGTCGCTATGTGCTAATATATTTCTATCAAACTACGGAATACTTTTCCACATGGTCGTTAATCATCTCTCAAGAGGCTCCCTTTTCTCATACCTCTCCCTTTCCCCCGATAGTTTACCGCATCCGGAGGTCAAGTGCTCATTGTCAGTGACTTGAAATTAATATTGGCGTGATACCCGACAAAATAGGAAAAATAATGGAAAACTGTCATCCTGGAGGGTGGGGGATTTTCCGGAATCCTCGAGAGAATCTGTAAAATCTGAACATCATCTGTTATCGGACAATTTGACGTAGTGGACATAACGGCACCCCTCTGACGTAAGGGCGTATCTCTCATACCACATGAGCCCCGGAAAGTATAGGATTATACGGAGAACAGGACTCACGTGCGAATCGAGATACACCCTTACGTCAGAGGAGCGCCGATAAGAGGGCACGACGATGAAACGAGTCGTGTCAGAATCTTCACTTTCTCACTTTCTCTCCTTCGCTCCTGTCCTTTTCTTTTTTTGAGGGGGGGGGGTCGTGACGGGGTGTTGAGTCAAAACTTCATGAGTAGTATATCACTCGAACTGAAATCCTCAAACTCAAAATCCCAGCTGACCACCAGGTGTATAACTGTATACATATCCAAAAGCCATCTACCACCCCTGTAATTTTTTCCCTATTTGACAAAGAAATTTAAAACTTTGGGGATGTATTCAGATTCGAATAGTAACAACTTCTTGGACCCCAAAAATTGTGGGGCCCTGTCCCCTCTAAGAGGGCGGGGGCCACAATTTTTTTTTTCAAATGATAACACCCCTCCCTCTTCGCGATATCACATGTGAAAAACAGTAAAAAACGAAAATTTTGGCACAAACCGCAGTATTATGCAGACTCACCGAGACTCCATTTATGACTGAGATTTCGGGTTTTCTAATGTCACGATGAATTCAGAGTTTCAAATAACAAAAGCATACCTAACTATTTTTATGAAACTCAGGGCATAGTCATCGCCAAAATACAGAGAAAATGAGTTATTTCCTAGAGCTTGGGGGGGGGGGGGGGTCGCAGCCCCTTAAAATGCACTTTTTTAAAATATTCCATAGTAAAAGATATTTTTAATTTGACTCATTGAGCACGTTCCTGGAGTCTGGCGGTTTAACCTTGGATCACACTGTATAAAAAAGGACGCTGTCTGCGTGCGCTCTTTCAGCGGATGTGAAGCCGAGGCGACGTCATCAAAGCTCAGTCGTTTCGAGAACTATATTATATCTCCGGGACAAGGAGGAAATTATGAAACGGGGGCGGAGGGGGGGGGGCGGGACTGCAAACAATACAAATGCCCAAGGCGCATCGCTAAACGCGCGGAGAGGAAATTGAGAAGAACTCGCATTTTCTGCGCGACTGCCTTTTTTGTGAGCTGGCGACAAAGGCAAAAGGCAAAAGGTTTCCACCGCCCTTCCCCGCTCCGGACTCTCGAGCGCCAGCCTTCGCCCTCAGACACGCGCAGGGATTACGAGCAAACTCGAAAATAATAGCTTCATCAATTAAAAAGAAGTTTTTCTAATCGCTCCCGACGCTGTCATTTCCCGCGTTTTCGTTCCGGTGTATAGTCCCATTGTTCGCTCGGGAAAGTTAATAAAAAATAAATTAAAAAATGCTGATAAATAGAAGGAGCGAGTTTTGTCCCTGTCAAACGGACCGGGCTCTCCACGCTCAAGTGAAAGTGCGTGACGCTCAGTATCGGGAGGTGACGATCAGTGCCAACGTCTCCTCGCAGACTTAATAACCTAACCACATTTCAGCGGTGCCATACTAAGAAAAAACGCCGTATGAACCTCCAGGCGTTCCCAAATTTCCTTGGATAAAAAAACGAATTTCTTGGTAAACTTATGAATATTTTCTTTCCAATTTTTCAAATAATTATGCTCGCAATTTCACCTTAAGTTCTTGAAAATTTCAAGGATAAATGTTCACAACTTTCCTCAAAAATGAAAAATTTATCGAAGGAAATTTGGCAACTCTCGAATGTTCATACGGCGTTCTTCCTTAGCATGGTAGAGCGGTGCAAAATTTCTATCCGAAAGTCGTATTTTTGTGCTTTGCTGATGACAAAGTGCCAAGTGATGATGGCTTAATATAATGATGATGCTGATACATGCTGCGTAAGTGTGTAGAGGAGTATCGAAAATAGGGGTTGGTAGTTAGTCTACCAAAAAAGGAGAAACTAAGTTAAGGCGTCTCTTATTTAAGCGGCAGTTGGATGATGGGCAACAAATCGAAGGCTGCGCGGACTGTATGTACCTTTGAGGTGAGTGGTTAACCCAAGATGGATGGATAAAGTAAGGTGTCGAAGAGAGGGACACCCTAGCAGGGAAGGCTGTAATGATCCTGAATAGAATTCTCTGAGATCAGCCAGAAAAACCGGACACAAGCAATGTTAAGCGCAACGAAAATGGACTTCTGAAGGAATTCCGCAGGAATTTCTGGAACAGATTGAGTCCGTAATGAGTGCGTCAAATCATGGACGTCGAAAATGACGTCATATTCGACGCCCCAGAAAAATTCATTACAATTTTCTTAGGTGGGACTTTTTTCACATCTATAGTCATGGAGATATAATGAGGGTCAAGTAAAAATCCGTATCCCTTAAGCGATGAGTGGGAAGGTCTCGAAGAGGCGTGCTCCAAAACGGGCATATTTCAGGGAAGTTGGGCCGTTTTGATCACTTCTTTTAAGTGATAAAAAATTCAAATAGGTAAAGAAAGGGGACCGCTCCTGCAAGGGCTTCACATACACACAAGTTATGACTGTTGCATCCCTCATTTATGAAGGGGCCTACATTTGATTTACAGTGAAGTATAGCTGTATGGCATTTTGCAAAAAGGAGCCAAGAACATTCCAATGTAGCTAAAATAGTGAAACTTTCTTACCTTGCAAATATAAACTAATCATTTAGAAAATGTTTATTTTTACTCCCAATAAACTATAAATTCAAGACAAAAATGACCTTTAAATTTAATATTTTGCATGATTTCAGTAATTTTATTGCGAAGAATGTATGTTGCACTATCCTAGCGACATTGGAATGAGCTTGGTTCCTTTTTGCAAAACGCAATCCAATTTTTCATTCTCTTTTAGGAGGAAGAAGGAAATTTGGTTTAGTAAGTTTAAAACTTTGGCTGGATTCTACCCCTCTTAAATCTTAAAGTTTTTTTGGGTTTTTGTGATAATTGCCGAACAGAACTAAGTGCTAACCGCATGCTAATTACTAACTCATGAGCCGTGGGAATGTGACAAGAGCGTTGTGGTTCACCAAGCAAAACAGTATAGGATGTTGCATCAACCGCAATTGAAGGCGCCTTTATGAAGGCGGTATAAGGTAAATTGGATTCATCATTCTTTATAGAACTTTTGTTGCTCCCAAAATTGTCAGCAATTTTAACGAAATAAATAGCTGTTGATGGTTCTTTGCTAAAGGCTGCGTATAGTTACAAATTGCTTGTGGTAACACACTCCGGTAAGTGAAATAGATGCCTTCAAGTAAAATAATAATAATAATAAAAAAATAAAAAAAAAACTACAATGAAAAACATTAAAATAAAAGTCAAAATGTGAAATATAAATGTATTTACAAGTATCACCACCAGACAACATTATTTACAACAATCCTTCATCATAACTAACTCTAATTCTGGAAGAGCTCAGTGGCGTTTCGTGAGTCGTCGCACACTTTTTTTTTTACATCAGAATGTTAAGTCAGCATCCTTTTTTTTCAGTGATAGAAATTCGCGGTTCTGCCACCTAAAATCAATCAGACGAATCTCTCGCGGAGTTTTCGAGGGGAAAACATTTTCACGGCTTCCCCCATAAAACTCGCGAGAAATTCTTCGCTTTCCAGTATTCCAGGCAATTTCGTCAGGAACTTAACGGCTCGCGCGGCCATTTCCACCAGTTTGGCCGCTCCCGGAAATCCCGGATCCACCTCGTCGGCAAGTTTGGAGAGGAAGCCTGTCTTAATGAAACACTCCAACTTGATGGCATGACATCGGTCTGCCACGATATGCGACGCGCCGGTCACGATGGCTTCTTTCCAAAGATCCGAGTCGAAGAATGATAGCATCACGGCGGTGATCTTGGACGCCAATTTCGAAAACCTGGACGTTTCGCTCTTCGTCGTGTTGCTCTTGCTCAAGTGCAAGAACGAAGCCTCCAGACAACTGTCGTATAGCTTTATGCACTGATTGGTCACAAGCTCGTTATAACTGAGGGGTCCGTTCAGTATCGTTCCGTTTTCTAGCATGTGCGGGTTTGTTTCATTTTTGCCGGTGACTGCTCTTTCCTCGCGGCCGTCATCACCCTGGACGGCGTCCTCAACTGCGACAAGAAATTTTCATTAGTATAATGACTAGAGCAAAAATAGGTACACATATCGACGGTGAAACTACCAAACCACGTACCTCGGTTTGCGGCGTCGCAAACTTCCTGTCATACTTTATTTTTTAAAGAGGAAACTTCTCAATTTTGATTCTTGAAAACTTCTGTAATTTTTCCTCTTAGTGCGAAGAAAATTCTGTGAAAATTTCAAGTAATAATATTGAATCGTTCTTCTTAAAAAAAAATCAAATGAGAGCGGAGATTTTTAAACACCGCAAACGAGATACGTGGTCTGGTAGTTTCACCGTCGATATGCAATGATAAAACAACCGTGAGAATTCCGTATAACAAATTCCACACTGAAAAAAAACATATCGGTGTATTTGCTAAGAAAAGCGTAGAATTACCAAGAATTCAGGGTTCTATTCGATCCCAGTTTTTTCTTGGTAAAATTACCATTTATGGAATTATTGGTAATTTTACCGAGAAATCTCGGTAAAATGATTGAAGTTTCTCGGTAATTTTACTGGATCTTGGTAAAAACGCAAATATTTTTTATCGACTGTGGTAGAATTACCGAGATAAAATGGCAAAGTTACCGGGAATTGATTACCAATAAAAGTGGTATTCTTACCTGAAAAAAAAACCAGTAAAAATACCGGTTTTTAGGTAAGCTTACCAGTCTGTCTTGGTAAAATTACCAATAATTTGTAAAAAAAAAAAGTGAGATGATAAAGGTACCAACGGACCTTGGTAAAAACGCCGAGAATTTATTTTCAGTGGCAGTTATATATCTTGGAAGGGGGTCATTAGATAGCGTAAAAATCAAAACGCCATAAGATATTGTACTTCATCAAAGTGTTGAGCGTAATGTTCATCTTTTTGACAGATTCATGAATGAGACTTTTAATTCATAATTTACACATTATAATCAATCAATTAATAATAATTAATGAATCGAGAACAATCTTTGATGTTCAGGGAATAACTACCAGAGTTAGGTTTTACCAAATCCACCCTTTTCCTTCAATAATAATGGAACTTGAACCCGTCAATGAAAACTCAGAACATAATGAATAGACGCTCTTTTTGTGACGATTAGTTTATTTACCAACTAAACTCGAAAGAATTATTATGTTGTGAACAGTAAAAAACCTCATCGATTTCCGCCATTCCCAGTCGATTGAGGCAGAGTTCTCTGAATGTCTCTTCAAATAGAGGAATTACGAATATGTTGCAAAACTTACTGTGTTTGAAAATTGCCAGAACTTTTTCATTGACTTTTGGAAGTTTCGGAGCACTGAAATCCAACGCCGTGAGAATTTGCGGTAAGACGGCAATCAAAATTGTAACGGTCTTCATTTTTCTGAAAAATAATAATTATCAATACAGAATGCTAGAATCGGATAATGCTATAATTCATTATCGTATAATGCAACCATCGACAATGCGCTCACACTTAGTTCCTCAGTAAAAGTTAACAACTCTATTTTTAGTGATTGGGCCTATAGACAAGTACATCATACTTTTCAATTAATTGCTCGTCACCCTCCACCCTCCCGTGATAGTCCGCTTTAACCATATTCCTTGAGCTTGTACGCATTATAAATGATTTGCATTCTAACGTCAATTGAAGGCTGCTGAATTTGATGCTTTTTGAAAATTAAGACCTCAGGAACCAATCTCTTAGTATCATGGGCGTACGGAAAAGGGGGGCCAGGCCCCTCCCTAGAATTGAGAGTAGTATTATCTGCGCCCCTCCCCCTAGAAATTCTGGATGATGGGGAAAACATCTTTTTCAATGATATTTATCTATTTTAATATGGAGTCTTAAATGAAAACACCATGTCCATTCAGGTAATATTTACTAAAACTTTCGTCATGAAAGCCTTGAAATGCGTCCGAATAGAGTTAAAATTTCAAAAAAGTTCCAGATCATTTGAAACCAACAATTTGAAAGTATTTTGTGCTAAACGTATAAGAAGAAACGTAACTTTTCCGCAGACATTCATGAAAAATCTGCGTCACGGAAGCCTCAAATTGCGTCCAAATTGATTCATAATTTCAAAAATTTCCCGGGCAAGGCCCCTGGCCCCTCTCACCCCCCTCTAAACTGAGGGGTATTCCATGCTTCCCGGTGGTAGAGGAGTCAGGCTCCCCCTAGCAAAATACTAAAGTACGCCTAAGCCTAGGATAACTAAAAGATATATCTAAATGATGTATGATTCAATTTTTGCCAGCATTCGCTATCACCGTAAAGTATGATCACATCTGAAAATCGGTCGGTTTAATAGCCATCTCGTTGCAAGTAATGAGGATTTGTAAGAGCAGTAATATTCGTTACAATAATATTTTAAGTGGTAGTAATAAGTGCACTGCCGGGACAAGTAATACAATTATTATAGTAAAATAGATGAAACTACTATGTCCATCTCGAATGCCATGTGGAGCGTGAATATTGGTTTCCAACTTGTTCCGATTCCATTATTTCTTCAAAGTCGTTTCGATAAATTATTTAGGAAACAAGATCAAGTATGCATTTAGTGGCGAATATTTTGTAAAAAAAAAAAAAAAATCCTATTTTCCGTTTCCTCCTATATTCCTATATTATATTGATTTTCCTATAATTTGCTTAGCTCCGCCTCCCAAGAGGGGGACCAGGGGAGAGATTAGGGGATAAATAAATGAAAGGCAGATGAAAGAAGAAACAGTGACTGATTTCATGTAGAATAAATTACACTCAAGATGACATTAAAATAGTTTCCTCACGGTGATTCGTGATAATCTTATCGTAAATCATTGTCTTGCAAGATATAAAAAAAAATCAAGCAGAAGGGGGGAAAAATTAAAGGTCGAATATGTCCATAATAATGAATTCACAGTTTTCGTAAAGCATTCATTTTAATAGTACAGAACTGAATGAAATAAACATAACCAAACACCGTTAAAAATATAAATAGTCAAAAAATATCTTAATTTTTAATAAAACTGAATATTGACTTATTTAAATTCTGAGTTTCTTGAAATTAACTCTGGTGGTCGTAGTTACTTATAAATTGTTTCCTCTGATTCGTTAGATATCTTTTTTGTGTTGTTCAGGACCTCTTAAGTAATGTACGAAACATATTAAAGCATCAGCGGAATAAAGAAGTCCCAGTGCAAAACAGAATATCTGCAACATATTAAAAATTCAAATTACAATGAAGAGAAGTAGAAGTTAGAAATTTACGCTTAGAGAGGAAAATTACAACTAAACTTTACGCTCATAATGATACATTATAATATGCTTGGATTCATAAAAAACAAAGGTATAGATGCATTTAAGAAACGAATGGAGTAAATATATGTTTACATGGTGGTCAGCCATGTGGTGGTGTTAAAACTCAACTTCGAATGACCGAACCATTTTCTTGAAGAAGAAAAAATAGTGTTGTAATGCTCAGCAGGGCCGGGTGAAGGGGGTGGCCACATGGGCCGCGGCTCATGGTAGCAAAATTAGTGGGAGGCTTTTGCATTTTTTTTAAATGGAGGCATAAAAAAATCGGATTCAGAAAAAAATCACAAACAAGAAAAGGTGACAAAATCTCTCATTTCCTGAGAGTTCATTAATTTCTAATTTTGTCGTATTTCGGTGATACAAAAGACTGCGCACCTTTAATTACCTGAGTTAAGAGAGAAACCAAACACTTAGTTTGGCCTGGAGCGGCGCGGCGCAATGAGAAATGATGACGAGGACTTGAGATGAAAAGGAGAAACCCTCGACGCGGCGGTCGGTAGTGACACATATTAGCGCCTGCGAGACTGCATGAATACTTCACGCATTGCGTGAAACACAGTACGATCAACAGCGGTCGGCGCGGCGTGAAACGCACAGTGCCTACAAGACTACAAGAATATTTCACGCATTGCGCCAAACACAGTGTGGTCAGCGCGGCACGGCGGCGGAAGTTAAAATTATTAAATCACATTTATGTTTGTTCTTTCTTAATTTTTTAGTTCATTTCTTACAAATGAAAGGCCTTGTCCCCACAGAGATAGGTTCACGGAACTGAACTTTCGCGTGAAGTTCCGTGAACTTTTGCAAGTAGTGTTGACCGGGCTTACGCAAAAAATGTGTCCAACACGAGTGAACGCGTTTTATGCACCCACTCTCCCTCCGGCACTTTCAATTTCGGGGAAGGAACGATCCGGGGAAAGAACGGGAAGTAAGGTTTTGAGATGGTCGCCTCAAAGCGGAACACCCTGGGAGGGTATATTAGTTGCTTATATTAGTTGCTTTGTTCCTCTTGGATTCGCAAAGCGCACGGAATCCACCACTGCAACTAGATTGAACAACTACTGCTTTTAATTACATTATATCTTACCAACAGTCTGAGCATACCGCACTAAGAAGTACTCAATTCAGTTGGCAGGGGCATTTTTCCAGTGATATCCACGAATCAGAGGCCCATCAGGCCCACTCTATCACGGTGCTTAATTTTTCATTTATGAGGAATGTGGCATCCTTGTAACACTCCATTGTACCCTGACCATATATCGTAAGCCGTAAAATAGTGGGCCAGAGTCTACCGACAAGTCTTGTTGTAGCCGTAACACATAGTATGAGCGAAAGAAAAGTCTAGGAAAATTAGCAAAAAATATAAATAGTATTTAGGCGTATTTTTCAGGGATTTCGGCGGTCCAAGATTGCGTCCTCTAAGGCATCCTGCTGCAATTTGGGGGGTGTCCTATCCTGACCTGCATCGTTTGAAATAATATTAGAAGTATTTTGAATTGCATTTTGATTGACTCCATGCGTTTGCCGGGCCTTAAACCGATAAAATCATCAGAATCCTGGCAATTCTCGAAAAAGAAATTGAAAATTTGGCAACAAGAATGGCGTCGAGGTGGGCTGAGGACATCATCAAAAAATTCTGAAAAAAACTGAGTGTCATTTTCATGCCAAAACACAACTTCTTATCTCTGACCATCTGGAAATTTCGAAAAAGTTTTAAAACGGTCCACCCTAGAGTATATACCCCAATTACCTCATTCAAAGTTCATTACAAGTTACCTACTTCAATGACACCGTGCGTGGTGTTATTACTTTTGTTTTGCAAAAAATAATGTTTCTGAGAATGCAATTAAAGAGTTTTGCAGATCTTCACAATAGTACCATAATGAGGTACTAGCGATCTGTATGTATTGTTTTACGTGGCTATGTTTTAAGACTTTGCATCAATACATGTATCGAAAAAGGTACCCGAACTCGGCGTACACCGGGCTCGGAACTCGTCGAGCAGAACATGGCGCCAGCTCTCCCATTTACATCACGACTCTATGTACTCTATGGAAAATTTCAAGCAATTTTGTTTCATCGTTCTCGTTAAAGAAAATAAAACGGGAGCAAACCTTGTAAAACACCGCAAACAAAATGCGTGCTTTAAGAGTTTCACAACCGATATATATATATATATATATATATATATATATATATCGTGACTGAAAGCTTTGAGCTGTGTTCTTGAAAAGGGTCGGGAAACAAAATGCATGGGAGGCAGTGAATACAGGGAATCATCTCGCGTCGTATTTAACGCGGGGAATCATCTCGCGTCGTATTTAACGCGAATACCGAATAACCGTTCACCTTTTAGGCCTCTCGCTTCCCAATCCACAAATTCTCGCTCAACGGGAGGCTCACCGAGTGAATATGCGTCAACGAACTACGGGATTTCGAGGAATTTTTTTCTGCATTTTTTCAATTTTTTTTCTTTTTCCGGCCCTTTATTACTTGGCACGCTCACCTTTCCCCGGAGTCAGTCAAGTGACACGGCGGCACACGGCCGCGTCGTTTCCTGATCCTGAGACGATGGCGACGCCGCGGAAAGTGGTGGCGATTCTCTTGTTCGCGATCATTTGCTTCGCGATTCTGAGGGACATCGAAGGGCCTGGGTCGAGGTCGAACGGTTCCGGCTCCCGGAAATCCCGGGGATCGCGTTCACAGAGCCCGCCCGGATCCCCAGCGGTTACTTCCCGGCTCCGCAGAGGTGTTTCGGCCTTCACGGGCCTATTCCGATCCGGCACCCGGAAGGACGGAGAAGGGCCCTCGAGGACGAAGAGTAGTCGCAGTGGCAGTGGCAGTCGCAGTGGCAGTGGCAGTCGCAGCCGAAGCCGAAGTCAAAGCATGTCACCCGAACCGACGATACCAGCGGGTATCGAATGCGCACCGATGCACTGGGTCGTCACCAACGATTATGGAAAGTTTATAGTCAGTATGTTCGCAGGGAAGTACCAACGAGCAAAAGGCGCCGAAGAACTCACGGTAACGAAACGCTTTTCTTTTTTAGATCAAAACGAGATAACCTACACTGGAAAAAAAAAACACAC